CTCTAGCTTCCGTTAACTGTCGTCCGCGCATTCATGAGAGAGTGGCGTTCCAGCTGATGACGTAGATGAACGCAGAAGCGCAGAGGAGAGAGCAATACAAAACACCGGTCACAAATTAGAAGTACAAAATGAGGATTTGTATAGAAAAATGTTGGCCGATTTCAATGTAAGCCACAAGGAGACTTTTTTTTTTTTTTTGCTGTAAACAAAACTCGTGAACGTGAATACAACAGTTCGCTAAAAATGATACAATTGTGTTGAGTATATATCATACTGAATAATATTGTATTCAATTTGTAATGTTAGATCGGTTTCATGCTGTAACTAACAACTCCAAGAAAGATCCAAGTTAGCAGTTGGCAGCCATTACAGTACCACTGCTCATAAATATTTAATTCATATGTGAGGTTGTTTATATGTTGTAACTAAGTTTAACAGCATAATGCACATATTGTTAGTGGTGCGTTGGTTGCAACTTAGTGCCCATTTATGCCAGCTAGACTGAGCTGATGCAACCGGCCCATGATGCAGTGGCAGAGATGTCATACTGTAAATATTTTTCTTTCTTTTTTTCAGCTACATCTATCTGTCAGTCTGACTGAACAATATATTTGAATGTTTGTGAGGGATTACAATTTTTCAAAGCATTAAAATAATGAAATTTACACAATATATACAACAGGTTAAAGCAAGCACAATACTCTTACAATACTATACTGTAGTTTTTCTAGAGCTGCTGTGTTAAGTCAGACTGGTGTGACCGCCTTGCTTTAATGTCAAGCCAATGACAAATCGTCTGTGTCCCACCAGGTTAGATCAGTGTACTGCAGCCTCTTGTGCGAGTGTATGTACACATTTATGTGTGTGTGTGTGTGTGTGTGTGAGACAGCTGTGGTGTAACCCAGAGCCCCGGCGCAGCAGGAGCTGTCTTGCACACAACAGATATGCTTGTTTACCATCCTGGCAGATAATTCCTTTTTTTGTCCTACCCGACTGAAACCGGGCCAGAACTTTGAGCAACAGATCTGCAGTGTAATGACTTTTTAATTTTTTTTAAAGACTGGCTTGTTTCAAGTGAGTTACGAAAAGCTTGTTTGGCTTCTGTCATTTCATAGGAACTAATGAAGAAGAATCGAGAGGTTGTCACTTGTTTTCTTCTCTGGTTGTTGTTAGTTGGAGCCCCTGCGGTGGGAACTGATGGTGTTGGCCAATTGGCTGTTTGCAGTCAAAATTGGGGAGTCAAACACAGCGGCACTTCTGTCGATGTTATTAGTTAGAATAAATGTAACACGATGCCAGTGTTTGAAAATAAATCAATACACATTTTCTGTGCATGTTACTCCTTTAATGACAAAGATAAGAGGAGATTGTCTTTTTACTTCCTCATTTAGTGTTTGATGTTTAACAAGGTGTCTTTGCAGTATTATTTTAGTATTATTTGTATACTATTAAAGTATTCATGACTATTTTTAACTAGTTTCTATTTTTTTTTTTTTTTCGTTTTTAAATATTTTAATTTATTTTTAATTTTATATATATTATTCAGACACCATATATAATTTTTGATATTTTTTTCTAGTGGGTGCATGACACTATAGTTCATTTATGTAAGTGAGGATAGCAAAATAAAGTAAACTGTGGCATATTATACCCCAAAATTCTTCCTACAGTGGACTACCAGTAAAATTGATAAAAATTTGGGACCAAAAATTAGATTTGACACTTTTACCTGACCATGTTTTGTTACATACCTTTCTATCAAAGTTATCTATCAAGATGAATTTGTTCTGACACAGTTTAACTCTTGAGTTCTTGTCATATTTTATGACCATTTTCTAAACTATATACATTTTGGCTTGACTGTATATATATATATATATTGAAGATCACAAAAGAAAACTAATTTTTAAAGAAACTTGTAAAGAATAAGAAATATTCATTGGACAAATCACATACAAAGAGAATCTTTTAATTGTTTTTTTAATTTGTTGTTCAATAATAATTTATCATTTATATTATTTAATAACTTAAATATTTTGTTTATATATTTGTCTTTTTACTTTCTCATTCAGTGTTTGATGTTTAACAAATTGTCTTTGCAGTGCTATTATAGTATTTATATTTATAATTAGTTGTTTTAATTTACTTTTATTTTAGTTGTAGTAATTTTAGTACAACTTAAACAAGAAATATAGATCTCTATATATATTTTTAATACCATACAAGAAACTTGTACATAATAAAACATTCATTGGACAAATCAGATACTAATATATTCTTTTAACTGTTTTTTTAAAAATAATAATGTATCACATATTAATTCATCATTTATATATTTATTATTTATATAATCTCTAATTATAATAATCTATAAACAATAATATAGAATTTCCTGAAGGGCACAAAATTTATTTTTGTGTTCACAATGTTTTTTCATGTCCTGTTGTTGTCTGTTGAAATGAATCATTTATTTATAATGTAGACTACAGTCACGTCGTCTGGTTTTTCATTATAGTTTGACTCTCAGTATTTGATAAAGATACAGTTTCCTGGCTGCGCAGGTACACTGTATTGCCTTTGTTATAAGAAAGTGATACAGCTTGTAGGCTCCAGACATTGCAAATATTGTGAGAGTGTCCATGTGTGTGTGCTGTTTATCTGGCCGTTGCTTCATTTCCTCCATCCTGTAGAGCTCGCTGCCAGCTCAGATCATCTGTGGCGCGGTACCCTGACTGCAATTTCCTAAGGTGATGGAAACACACATGTGGATGGTGTCTGTTGGCAGGTCGCTGGGGCCACAGAGGCATAACATGTTTACCAAGCATGCAGGACAAGTGGCGCTCCGACTGCCCTTGGGTTCATACAGCCTCCCACAAATCCGCTTACATCAAAAGTGTGACATCTGGATGAGAGGACACCTTCTGTGCCGCCTGAATCATGTAACAGAGCAGGAGCGCTCGGTTCTGCCACATTCAACCCTCCTCCAAGTTGCCTGGAATTTTCAGGAAAACACAAGGGGGATCGGACTTTCGGATCAGGAGGGTTGGAACTAAACTCTATTTGATCGTCACTAGTTCACACAATTAAAGATGCAGACACTTTAGGCTCAAGTCCTGTCGGTGATGTTTTAATGACTGCTAAGCAAAGCGTTATGTGTGGACAAGTAAGGTCAAGGTCTCAGAAATTAAATAGAATATACATAAAATCAATACCTGAATCACTCAGATATCTGTATCAGCACGTAAATTAACATATCTGCTGAATATCTGCTTTGTATATTAACAAACTCTTTAGTAGTCAGTACTGCATTCCAGTAAGTTATAAACACAAACTAAATGTTCTCGTATAAAAATGAAACTTGTGCCACTCTCATACATCTTTTTTTGCACTGTGAATTGGCACAAAGCATAGTGTGATTGACTGCTTATATTACACACTGAATGTGTATACAGGACTGTACTCTAGTGGTTGGCAAGTAGATGCTGTCGCATTAACTATTGGGATACACTACCACTTCTAAGTGATTACCGTACATTTAAAGCTGCGATCAAATGGAAGTAGCAGCAGATCTTTGTTTCCATATTGAGCCATACCTCTCAGCATAACAGATATGTAGGGTGGGTTGTTGGAGTCAGCTGTAAAAAATAAATAAATTATTAATAATAATAATACATCAAATAAAATGATAAAGCTTTGATCATACAACAAGCATTTAAATATCATTGTAAGACATTGTTGGGAGATATAGAGTGACAACTGATATTTATATGCATTTTATGTAAGTAGTCTGCTTATAAAGATCTCATTGATTTAAACAGAAGATATTAGCATTTAATCTTATCTTTTGGCCATATAAATATCAGCATATTGCTCAGTTTAGGCCTCTAAATAAAATGTAATACAATTCTGTATAATATTTTTTCCTTCTCAAGTGTGAGCTCCATATATGTCGTGAAACCCTCATGTTTCAATTATGATACTCAAAAAAATGGGCTAAGGTGCAATAAACCGTTTTGTTTAAATAAATAAATCTATCGGACTTATTTCATTTGTCAAGCTTTACAGGGTTAAGCAGACAAAGTGATAGGAGAAATATGGCACTGATGAATTGGAAGTTTATGACATTTTGATAAATCATGAGGTTAAAAAATTTAAATATAAAACGTAGGCCTATCCGTGGATGAATTGTTCACAGTAAGATCTATAACATTCATTTACTAATAGATAAAATGATTATATATTATTAATAGATAAAATGAGAGCGTTTACAAGACATTGTGTAGTGATATATGAAAAGCATAAATAAACTGGAAATAGTATGCACCTTTGGCATACTATTCTCAAAACACTATGATTTGGGACGCACTAATTATTATTTAGGACGGATCGTATGCGAATTGGGGACAGAGAGCTGGCGCAGGATTCAGCATGCACCAAAATACATTGGTTTTTCAAAAAAAGAAACATTTCACCCAAACTAACCCACCCACCTGTAACAAGCTACAGTCTTCCATGCAACACCTGTACGTTTCTCAGAAGCGGCTCGGTTGGATTCTAATAAGGATTCTGGATAAGGTCTGTGTCATTCGCTCGGGGAGCTTGTATTTGTTTGAGGCAGTGCTCTATATATTGGCTTGGGATTGTTAAGAAACAAGTTTTGTGTGCTTCGCCTACTTGGAGAACAAGTAGCCTCGTCTCACCCTGGATATTCTACTCCTCCTCATCCATAATTGATCACACAATCACCTCTAGAAAATCGAGTTAAGCCATCTTCCTCTCCTGCGAGCGTGCCAAACACTGATAGGTGGAGAGTTGCCAAGATCTTTTTTTCCGTCTTGTTTGAGGAACGGTGTGATATTAATGCACAAAGGCGATCAATGTTGCATTCAAAAGCGCAGGAATGTGTTTTGCCGTACACTTCTTATTATCTCTTCTCGAATGTCTTTTGGAATCGGTGCCGTGTCGATAACACGTGTTATGATCTCTTTGGCTCTTTCAAGGTACGAGCTTGACCATGACGCTCATTCCACGAGCGCAGACGTTTCAAAGCTTCCTTTCCGAGCAGACGGAGGAGGAACGGAACCAGGAGCAAGCGACAGCGGCCTCTAGCGGCTGCGACAGGGACTGCAGCAGCTCGCCGCTCCGTTGACTGCACGGTCACGGCTTGACGAAAGCCACGACTCACGGACATTCCAAAGCTTTAGGAAGCTCATAATAGACACATGTACAGTATGAACTCTCTCTATATATGTATGTATATGTATGACTTAATAATTATTTGTAGAACAGTGTGTATACTAAGAACTCTAGGAGCCTCGTTTTGTACGTCGAAGAAAAGAAAAAAAAAAAAAAAAGCCAAAAAGTTGTACCATAATCTTTATTTTCCTTGTGTAGTTTAAGACAAATTGACTTTCTGCAGTTATTTTTCAGATTTACTGTAAATATTAATGCGCTGTAGCGCTTAACACCACAAGTTTCTTGCGTTTTTGTCTGTCGTCGTGACACCCACTTAGATTCTGTCAAACAAGATAGTCTATCTGTTTGTGTTTTAGCACCCTGCACTTTTAAATTAGAGCTTGTTTTGCACTTTTGTCATTTGCTTTTGGTTTCAATATGTGCAGCCATGTTGTCTGTAGATGCGTGCAGTGTGGGACATGGGGGAAATGTATACTTTTAAAGGGGATAGTTCACCCAAAAATGGATATTCTGTTCACTTTCCAAACTGGTATACTCTTACAAATAAAGGTGCACTTGATTTGGGATCTGACGCCCCCTTGTGGTCACATTTGCCATCAGCAGTTCTCAACTGGTGGGTCACATGACCTGAAAATGAGTAGCAGGTCTGTTTTCGAAAGGATTGCAGACAGTAGGCTAAAAAATAATGCTTATACACTCTTAAAAATAAAGGTGCTTCACAATGCCATAAAAGAACCTTTTTTTTGTCTAAATGGTTCCATAAAGAACCTTTAATATCTGAAGAACCTTTCTGTTTCACAAAAGGTTCTTTGTGGTGAAAAAAGGTTCTTCGGATTATAAAAAGGTAAGAAAGAGATGGTTCTTTGTGGAACCAAAAATGGTTCTTCTATGGCATCGCTGTGAAGAACCTTTTGAAGCACCTTTATTTTTAAGAGTGATGGCTTGCTTTCATCTGTGGAACACAATAGAAGATATTTTGAAGACTGCTGGATGCACGTTTCCATCAAAAGCACTGTAAATGTATCATAAAAGTGTCCACAATACTCGATTCTGAATATTATGAATCCAGTAGTGTTGTGTGATGAACAGACCCAAATTAAAGTGGTTATTCAATGGAAATCTTTTAGCTCGCTGATACTGTGTGTTTAAATCATGAACAAATCACAGATCTTTTCAATGAATCAGTTGATCTAGTTCACAAAAACAGTCCGAATGATTCATTTACTAGGCCTAAGTATGTTCACAAGTTCCATTGAACTCTATTGGTAATGATGGAACTTGCGACTATAGTTGCTTTGGGAAGCACATCCCATGGTTTGAAATACGAAAAATATTTTTTTTTACATTTTTGGATGAACTATTCCATTTAATCTTTTCCCCCTTATTTTATATGAAATTAATTTCTGAAATGTGTCTACACACTGGACGAGAGGTTCGGTTATTCTGAATCTTCTCACACTGCAGAAGAAGTGCCTTCAGACTCTGCTAGACTGAGACTCTGGCTAGAACGCTGATTAAATTAGCATCCTGCTAGCCATCCAACATGTTTATAACTGAATTACAATATATGTCGACAGTGCATTTGTCTAAAAGCAGAACAAAATGTCTATTCTCTCCCTGCACAGGAAAATCCTTTTCCAATAACTCTACTGAATGGGTTTCAAAGGTTCAAATGGTCTTGATAGTGGATGATAGAAGTGTGCGTCGAAACAATAATGCATTCGGCGCGACAATCAATTCAGATTTACTCTACTGTAAAATACCTTTAAATGACTGTTGATGTTTTGTTTAATTGTGCTAGAAAAACCTGTTTCAAGCAGAATAACAACACAAATGATCACGTCGTGACTCATGACTCATGATGTGGAGCTAAAGGTTGGAGAAGTACATGATGAATCCCCCCCCCTTTTCCCCCACATGTAATTATTTACTCAGAATTCATTCTAGTCAGCGTTTAGTTGCACTTTAATGTGAATTAACCTCTTGTTTTATTGCAATGTGCATTGTTCTTCATTTAAAATGTCTTTAAAAAGGGAACACCCTTTTCTAAGGGGATTTCTAAGGGATATTTGGTCAAACACTGTGTTTTAATCCATGATATTCCAAATTTTGCCAGCTATGAACATTACATGGAAATTCCCTTTGGGCTTTTTCAGGAATCATTTCTTGTATAATGTCTTTCTGGTTGTGTTAAAGCATTTACACAGGTTTCAGTTTGTTTGTGTACGCTTATTTGTAATTGTATGTTGTTGTTTTTTAATCCATGTTTTATTTTATGGCATTAAGTAGAATTTTGTCCTGTGTGGATATGTCAATGTTTACTGAGTAAAATAAACTGAATGGACTTTACATAAACCCCTGAATACAGTATATGCATCTGTGACAAAGAAATAATTCACCAAAGATGAATGCGTATGTATGTAATACATTGTATATACCAAGGCAGCAGTTATTTGATCAAAAATACAGTAAAACGGTAATATTGTGAAATATTATTACAATTTTAATGAACTGTTTTCTTTTTTAAATAGGCTATATTTAAAATGTAATTTATTCCTGTGACGGCAAAGCTGCATTTTCAGCGTCATTACTCCAGTCTTCAGTGTCACATGATGCTTCAGAAATAATTTTAATATGCTGATTTGGTGAAACATAAGGCAATAACAATATGAAAAATGTATTGTTATTAATGTTGAAAACAGTTGTGCTGCTTAATATTTTTGTTGATTGAATATTGAAATTGAATATTTCCACACAATGTGCACTTTCAGGATGATTAGAAAGTTCAAAAGAACAGCATTTGTTTGAAATAGAAATGATTTGAAGCACACATACATGTAGCATTAATGATAATAATTATAATATTAAATAAAATATTTTTATCTTATGTTGATTTGGTGCTTAAACTGCAATATGTAACGTTTGGTTAAATGAACAAACATCGGTTATTGGCACATAAGACAAAACTGTGTTCTGTTCAAAGCTGTCTTCTTTCCTCGATTCGCAATGGTAAGATTATAATAATGATTTAGAATTTAAGGTGTAGGGTCATAATATTTTTGAGAAATTGACGCAAATATAAGACCCGGTGACTATTAGGCCTGTTTTGAGGAGCTTTGTAGCGTGTTCTCAGAAATGAACAGAGGCGGACAGTAGGTTATAGTGAAGTATTTTTACTTTGCTGTAAAAGTACTTTTCAAGTGTCTGTACTTTATCAGTGTTTTTCTTTAGAAAATTTTACTTCACAACATTCCAAAGCATAATATCATACTTTTTACTGCACTACGTTTCATATTAAATATAATTGAATACTTAATTACATTAGAAATATATTACATTTTTTAATATAAGGTAAAACAAACAACAACTTTTATTTATGAAATGTAGTGCAGTAAAAAGTATGATATTATGCTTTGGAATGTAGTGAAGTAAAAGTTTTCCAAATAAAAACACTGATAAACTGCAGATACTTTTTAAATTTACTTGAGTAAAGTCAAAATACTTCACTACTGTCCGCCTCTGGAAATGAATTGCTTAGAATTTAAACTTGTCATCCCGATGCTTTAAATCGGTAAAGTTCTAAGTGCCAATCATCGTTGACAGAGGCGGAATCACCTCAAACTGTGGAGAGTCTGCAAAAGACAGCGACAGAAGTCTGTGCTAAAACCAGAGTAAATATCGGCATGGCTTTCGAGAAATGGCGACAACTGGCAAAATCTGAAGGGTTAAAAGACTGATGTAGAGACGCTTTTTTTTCCTGCTGAACAGGTAAGACATTTCAGTGGCTCAATAGCTAACCATCATTAGAGCACTTGTTTGCTTGATTCAGGTAAGTTAGGTATCCAAGATCCAAGAGTCGCCATCACATATTCATCCACGCAGCAGTGCCGTACCATGTAATCAATCAATCCGCAAGCAACAGAAATGGCGATAGAGAGGCAAGTTACATACTGCAGCTTTAAAAATGTTACCATCAATATTGAAAAAAAGTGCTGCTTAATATTGTTGTGGAACCATGCTTTAAAGGGATAGTTCACAGAAAAATGAAAATTCTGTCATTAATGAGCCTACTCACTCTCATGTCGTTCCAAACCTGTATGTAACCTTCGTTCATCTTCGGAACACAAATTAAGATATTTTTTAATGAATTCCGAGAGCTCTTTGACCCTCCCATAGACAGCAAGGATCCTAACACGATCAAGGCTCAGAAACGTAGCAAGGAGATCTTTAAAATAATCCATGTGACATCAGTGGTTCAACCATTATTTTAGGAAGCTACAAGATTACTTTTTGTGCACAAAGAAAACAAAAATAACGACATTCAACAATTCGTCTCCTCCGCGTCACCGTATAGCGCCATTTTGGAGCGTATATGTTGGATATGTTGTTTATGTTCAGATCAAAGCGTAAACAACAGCGTATCCGCGTACGGTGCTGCTGACACAGAACAGCATACATTGTTTATGTGATACTCTCCAAAATGGCGAAGTATTGTCATAACTTTGTAAAATTACAGTTGAAACATTGATGTCACATGGATTATTTTAACGATCTCCTTGTTATGTTTCTGAGCCTTGATCGTGTTAGGATCCATGCTGTCTATGGGAGGGTCAGAGAGCTCTCAGAATGCATCAAAAATAATTTAATTTGTGTTCCGAAGATGAACGAAGGTTATGGGTTTGGAACAACATGATGGTGAGTATGACAGAATTTTCATTTTTGGGTGTACTATCCCTTCAAGAAAGTTTAAAATAACCACACAATTTGAAGTATAAATCTTTTGTTATGTATTTGATGTCATTTGATCCCAAACTTTAGATGTAATGTATTTTTTCCCTTTAAGAGTTGTTCATGTTACTTAAAGGGGTCATCAGATGCGATATAGCCTACATTTTTATAAGTTGTTTGAGCTGAAATTAATTTGAAGTATAAATCTTTTGTAATATAAATGTATTTGATGTCATTTGATCCCAAACTTTAGATGTAATGTATTTTTTTTCCTTTAAGAGTTGTTCATGTTACTTAAAGGGGTCATCGTCATGCGACATACATTTCTACGGAAAAAAATGACTCCTCATTGGACGTGCCTTTAGAAAGAAATGCATCTTTAGGGATTACATAATGAAATGGTTTCTATTTTTGATTTGAATGATTTCATTTTAAAGTAGTAATTTAAAGCTTTCTATATATTTTTATCATGCCTGTGAGACAATTAGCTGAGTTTAAGCTCATCATTGTGAAGCGCTCCTGCTCAAAACCTAGACGTAGAAGCAGAAAATCGTGCTATACGCACTTTCATGAGATCGGGTTAGCCTACAACAATTAATTTGTAGGCTATTTTACAAATGGGAATACAACGAATTCATGACAATGTTTTACATTCAACCTGTACAATTTATAGTGAAAAGTACTTTAAAAGCGTCTGGAATGCAATAAAGTAATTTTTTAAAGCATTTGCTGCATGGATTTAAAAAATAGGCTAATAAATAATTCACATGTCAGACAAAATTGCATTGCAGCAAATC